TAATGGAATATCAACACAATTTAGCAACCAACCGTTCAACAAAAACAACTGTTTAGAGACATGAAGTGTTGTGTATTAATGCATATACTTAAAGTTTAAGATTACAAGTAAATTATGCATAAGTATAACTTATTAAAACTCTATTTTTGAATTCGTATAACTAACTGCAGATAAATATAATCAAATACAGGATAAACATCTCATTTTAAATATTAAAAATCTAAAATATAATTAGGATAATCATTATCTTTATAAAAATTATATTTTTAAATCAAAAATAAATTATTTTGTTATTATATATAAATTAAATTATAATAAAAAATTGAATCAAAAAGTTTAAATGGTTAATTTGATATTAATATCAATATTTTTTTCAAAATTTTATGATATCTTTAAATTTATTTTTATTTAAAAATATAAACATTATATTTTTTAAAACTATATAAACTATATTATATAAAAAAAATAAAAAAAAATAAAAGATTAAAATAAGGATGTATCTTATTTTATTGCATAAGAGTTTAAAATAACCCGAGCAAGGAATTCATGTCTCCAAATAAACCCTAACAAATAGGCGATTGAAAATCTCTGGAAACAAAGTCAATCTCATTCCCGCTAAAAATCTCACTCTCATGTCATCAGAGAACATCAATTCTCTTCGTCTTCAACAAGCCCTAGCTTCATGCTCCCAAGTATCTCCTCCCTCTATCTCTCTGTAACTGCATATATGTATATATCATTTATGTACACAATCAATCACAAGCACACACGCTCCCTTGCACTATGCGACTTACGAATATGATGATGCTGTTGTTGATAGTCGATCGCTAATGGGGACTTCAAGCAATCAGAAGAATACATATCGGAGCTTGTTCGTTTTCTTGATTCAGTATCTGATTTGATCGAGAAAGATGAACACGATGCAGAGAACTCAGCTTTTGAAGTTCTTTCAGAAATTTATCAATACTTAATTTCACCTTCGATTGACCAGGCAGGTTATATCTTACTTTAAAGGACATAATTTATTTTTATCAACTCTATTAATATTCAATACCATGGTTTTTTCTTCGAATCTGATAATCTGGTGCGTACTTATTTGATTATTTGGGTTTTCCCCCTTCAAATACATAGTTGGTTGCCATATACAGACTAATTTATCTTTTAAAGTGATTCTAATCATTTTGATAACTACTAAATTGTCACTTGATCAGTATATGGTAATTGAGATGCTTTTTTTTTGGAATTAATTTGTATGAAAATATTTATCAGGTCTGAAATTTCGTATGAAAATATTTATCAGGTCTGAAATTTCGTATGAAAATATTGATATCTTTGGACTTCTCTTTTAGGAATAGAAGTGACATTACTATTTCGTTTGCTTTATTTTTACTGTCATCTCTTGATCAGTATATGGAGTTGAGATGTGTGTCAGAATCAAAGTCAAGTGGATTACTTATTTAAGACACATGGCATATTGCTTAGTACTTCATAATATCATCTTTTCATCTCTTAGATTCGACACGAGTTCATATCATTACCAGTCTAACAAAGACTTGTTTGCTTCCCACAATCAGTGTGTACCATATTATTTTAGTTCCAAAGATTGTCTACCTTTACATGCATATGCATTTATATATGTGTACTGGTATCATTTTGGTGATGTCTCTGTTTGGGGATTTTAAATATTCTCAGGCCGTTACAGATGCATTAGCGTTTGAGCTGCCCAAGGCTGTAGCCAAGTTGGGTTGTGTGTCTACGAGGTGCTTGGAGAATGCTGAAAGTATTATTAACCATTTCGTTGAGATTTGTAGCCCACGAGATATGGTTTCAATTCTTTGTGAGGTATGTTGTGTTTGTTGTCACAGTGTTCAGTTTATCTCTGCTGCTTGTTAAGGATGTTATAATTACTTACCAAATATGCTTATGCTCAGGATCTCAAAGTACATCTATTAGTAGAATTAATATGTTGCTTGCATTTGCATATCTATTTGCAGTAATAATTAGGGTTATAAAGAGAAGGAACAATGTGCATGATTCTTTTGAATGTCTAAAGAATTTATGTTCTCTTATCAAGCCCGAATGATTCAAATGTTTACAATCATGTTTGATCCGGGCCTACTACTTTGTTGGTAGGATGGTTGATCTGCTGCAGTGTCAATAATATGTGCTATTTGAACAGGCAATGGCTTCTCCAAGTGATGGCTTTAATAATTCTTCTTATTTTGCACCTCTTTTAGGAACTCTTGCAAAAGGTACTTTTTACTGTTTCTTTTTCAATTTTTATATGCTTCTAGTTGATTACTAAACTGAGTATCTTTGACATTTCAATTTTGAAATGTCCTTAACTCCGTCTTTATGTTCTACCTAGTCTATCCTAGGTCAAGACAAAAGGAGTAAGTTTTGGGACACAGGAGGAGGGTGAGGATATATTTAGCTATTTATATGAGAATCAAGCCGAACTAAATTTTCTTGGCATATAATCCTCTTACTCTTACCAATACTGGGCTTTGAAACCAAGATGTATTGCTTTGATGCATTTACGTAAGGGAGAATTATTGGGTTGGAATCAGAGGTAGAACTTGGAATATAAGTTTGGGGGGGGGGGGATCCAACTGTTCAGTGTCGTACTTTGTTGTAAATAATAACGATAATTGTTTCCATTACTCCTTCAAAGCATTTTCGGACACATAAAATATTTTGAAGCGGTGGAGTAATCGATTAGTGAAAAAATTCCAAGCATATTCTTTTATCGAATATCGGGTGAAAATAGGACTGTATCTTGGCAAGGTAATGCCAATGGCATGTCTTATTGGGACATACAACTAGTGTTTGTAGCCAATGGGGGTGCTTGATTTCTTCGTCGATATAAATCTATAAATTGAGTATTGCTTGCCAACATATACATTCTAATACTTTCAATTATGTGATTTGATCTCATCTTCCTTCAATAGTTGAAACTTTATGTTTTGATATGTTTTGCACAAAATATGAAAAACAATTGCAAGGGTTTTCATAAATTCTATCTCTACACTACATTTGATGAATATAAATATCTATAAGTTAATTTTTTTAATGGACTCGGTTGAGCAAACTGGCTAACTGACGTAGGTATTTTACACATTAAGTCTAGCACTTGGGTATCAAAATGAAAGAAATAAAGATCAGAAGTGTAAAAATTAAAATTTTAACCAAAATGAAGGGATTTATTATTATAAAAACTGAAATCTCAATGAGATGGGACATGATGGTGGATTCATAAAATGGTTGGATTAATATATACGTATTTATATAAACTAAGGGAATTCCACACATGATGCCAGAGTTAGGGGAGGCTAAGCAGTAGCTAGTCTCCCTATTGGCTACGCCATTGGTTGAAATGCATGTTCAGTGAATATAAATGCACCACAATTGATTTTTTGATTAAAATAAACAAGGTTTGGGTTGTCATTTCTTAGTAACATGCGAGATCAACATCTATGTGGTGATGATGATGATAAAAAACCACTGAAGGTGTACTTGAGGAAAAGGAACCGGGTCACAACTGCCAATATGGGGTAGCTGAATTCTATTTTTGGGAATTGGCTGAATCCATTAGGCCCAAACAATTGATGGTCAACTGGCTGAATTTACTTAAATCAATTGATGGTTAACCAAGGAATTAAGGAGCAATTACCATACTTGATTTTAGCAGTTACCATACTTAATTCTAAGAATAGGATAGTATAAATAACAGGCTTGCTTATCATTGTTATCACCGAAGTTGCTCATATTTATCTTTTCTTGTAAACGGGGACCTTGCCCCTCTCAAATCGGGCCACTATCAATAAAAAGCTAGCCTATTCTTATTCTTATTAATTTAGTACCTATCCTTGGTCATGTGGTCAACTCGAAAGGAGTTAGTGTAGAGGAAGAAAAGATATCAGCAGTTACGTCATGGCCCGTACCATCAACAGTAAAGGAAATGAGAGGTTTCCTCGGGTTAACCGGGTATTATAGGTGCTTTGTTCATAATTACGGTCTCATAGCCCGACCCCTCACCGCATTGACCAAGAAGGATGGGTTTAGTTGGTCGGAGAGGCCCTTAAAGCCTTTAATGACTTGAAACAAGCTTTGCTTTCTACACCAGTTTTGAGATTACCTGATTTCTCGAAACCCTTTATTATAGAGTGTGATGCTTCGTCGGATGGCGTGGGAGCAATATTATCACAAGAGGACCATCCTGTGGCCTATTTCAGCAAGGGGTTTTCCCCATCTAACCGATTTAAATCGGCTTACAAAGGGAGCTGCTGGTATTAGTCCTGGCAGTACAAAAATGGAGTCATTACCTGCTTGGTCGGCATTTTCTCATCCGTACCGATCATTATACCCTGAAGTTTTTATTGGAGCAGCGCATTACCACTACCGAGCAGCAAAGGTTGCTACTTAAACTCATGCCTTATGATTTTTTGATTATCCACAAGGCCGTAAAAGAGAACAAGGGGGCTGATGCCTTATCTCGTCGACCCCATTCAGGAGAATTATTGACACTCATTGTCCCTTATTGTGTTGAGGTGGTTGATATCAAAGCTGGGTTGCAAACCGATCCATTTACAAGTGACCTGATCAGCAAATTGAATGAGGACCCTCCGTACGTCATTGATTTCTCTCTTGCAAATCAACTTTTGTTTTATCAAGGGAGTTTGGTAATACCAGAGGTATCTTCCCTCAGACTTAAGCTATTACAAGAAGCACATGATACTCCAATTAGTGGTCATGGTTTTTTTTTAAACCTATAAACGACTTTCCTTTCAATATTATTGGCTAAAGATGAAACAGGATGTGAGGATTTTTGTTCAGCAATGTGTGATGTGCCAACAACAGAAATACCGAACTCTGGCTCCCGCCGGTAGGGGTGCTCAAAAACCCGATGAACCCGACCAACCCAACCCAAATTTAAAAAAAAAACCAACCCGAGGTAACCCGATGCATGATCGATAAAAAAATTAGCCAACCCGACCTTATTGGGTTGGAATCGGGCCAGGCCCAAAAAACCCGACCAACCCGACAACCCGACCTTAACTTTAGCTTTGAATTGTAGATGACAATCATGACATGACCAACCTCAACGTCAAGAAAGCGAAAGCATCGGGGTTGGAAACGTCTAAAACTATTGTTGTTGATTGATGTATTATCATTTGGTTTAAACATTTTTATTGTAATATCTAAATATTTAATGAACTTGCATATTATCTTGAATGGTCGGTCGTATTTCAAAGGAAAGTTTACTTTATTTTTATGTGATTTTACATTGTTTAAACACAACCCGATCAACCCGAACGGGTTGGGTTGGGTTGAACTTTTGTTTGGGTTGGGTTGGGTTGAAAATTTTCAAACCGCCAACATTGGGTTGGGTTGTTAAAACGGCTCCAAACCGATCAACCCGGGCCGTGAGCACCCCTACCCGCCGGTTTGCTTCAGCCCTTACTCACCCCACCAAATTTGGGAGGATATCTCCATGGACTTTATCGTTGGTTTACCTCCATCAAGCCGTTTCGATACTATCTTAGTCGTGGTGGATCGCCTAAGCAAATATGCTCACTTCCTCTGTTTGTCTCATCCATTCACGACCAAAGGAGTAGCTACGATATTTTGCAAAGAGATAATCAGATTACATGGTTTTCCTCGCTCTATCGTTTCTGATCAAGACATTGTCTTCTTTAGCAACTTTTGCAAGAATTGTTCCGATTAAGTCAGACCAAGTTAAAATTGAGTACAAGTTACCATCCTCAAACGGACGGTCAAACCGAAGTTCTAAATCGTTGCCTAGAAGCTTGCCTACGCTTCTTTGCTAGTGAACAACCAACCAAATGGAGTACTTTCTTACCATGGGCCGAATATTCATATAATCCCGGGTACCACACGTCCACCGGTACAGTCCCATTTTCTATTGTTTATGGCAGGGAACCTCCTTCTTTGTTTTCTTATATGGTGGGGGAAACAAAAAATGCAGAGCTGGAACAACAATTAATTGATAGGGATGATATGTTGAAGCTTCTTTGACAAAACCTCCAAAAGGCCCAAGACCGGATGAAAAACCAAGCAAATTTGAAGCGATGGGAACTCGTGTTTCAGGTTGGTGACTATGTCTTCTTGAAGATTCAACCTTATCGTCAAAAGAGTCTGGCCAATCGTCGGTACGAGAAGCTATCCCCAAGGTTTTTTGGCCCATATTGTATTAAATGAACAGTTGGTCCAGTTGCCTATGAGTTGGAACTACCATCCGAAGCTAAAATCCACCCAGTCTTCCATGTCTCAATGCTTAAACTTGCCTATGGCTCTTTTTCTTCAGTTCCAGCTGCATCATTACCCATCACCAAAGATTGGGAAATTGACTTGCAACCAAGTGCTGTCATCACTCATCGTTGGGTTTATGAAGCTGGCCGCCCAAACTTAGAACTGTTGGTTTCTTGGTGTAATCGTCCTATCGAAGAATCTACGTGGGAAACTTATGATCTAGTAGCTGAGCAATTTTCTGCATTCCGCCTTGTGGACAAGGCGTTTTACCGGGAGGGAAGTAATGATAAAAACCCACTGAAGGTGTACTAGAGGAAAAGGAACCGGGTCACAGCTGCCAATATGGGGCAGCTGAATTCTATTTTTGGGAATTGGCTGAATCCACTAGGCCAAAACAATTGATGGTCAACTGGCTGAATTTACTCAAATCAATTGATGGTTAACCAAGGAATTAGGGAGCAATTACCACATTTGATTTTAGCAGTTACCATACTTAATTCTAAGAATAGGATAGTATAAACAACATGCTTGCTTATCATTGTTATCATCAAAGTTACTCATATTTATCTTTCTTGTAAACGGAGACCTTTCCCCTCTCGAATCGGGCCACTATCAATAAAAAGCTAGCCTATTCCTATTCTTATTCATTTAGTACCTATCAGATGAGCAATGGTTTTTGCTTTCTAATATATGGGTGCAAGTACAACCAAGTAGCATGAGAGATTATGATGTCCCGCCCTCTACTGCTCTAACCCCCTCCCCTGACCACAATAACCACAAGTTGTTACACGAAATTTGCTACCCTAGTCTTACATCTCCCCGAATTCCTAACTGAGATCATGCCTTTAGAAATGTCTAAAGCTGCCATATGCAGTTTCAGTTGCTCATCTCATGTTCTCCTTGGCCATCCCTCCTCACTGCCTTGACCGTAACACTCTCGATCCTCATCACTGGAGCCGACATCTGCCTCTATGAATGTGCCTGAACCACCATAGTCTTCCTCTCTCAATATATTGCTATAATCAACTTATCAGACCCAATGTGGACGTATCTTCACTCATGGTTATCATTGATCCTTTTTTCTGTTATATTATTCTTATTGTAAGTTATTGAACTCGAATTAGGGTTTTTGTCATTATTCTATCTGTGTACTAGAGATAAAGTAACAATTAACAAGAGGGGTAAATGATTCATCTCCAGTGGCCAATCACAGTTTTTAACAGGGTGATTGAGATTGTTTATGGTACATATTGACATCGTTTAAGAGTCTGGACATGTGCATGGAAATTATAGTCACCAATTTAGGAAGTCTTGATTTCCTTTTCTTCTCCATTTACTTTGCAGTTGCAAAATTTTTATTTAATAAAACTACAAGTGTTATCTACTTTTTTTTTCCTTCTTGTTTTCAGCTTTTGAGGCCCTCCAGAGGAGACCATTTGAGCAGCTAAAAGCTTCCCTCCCTGTTGTCCTTAAGGTTTTAGAGGCCCTGCTATCAGATCCAGAACATGAAGATACAGGCTCTGCGGATTTGCTCAACAGAACAATTTTAATCGCCCATTCTCTGAAAGCAATCTGCGAAAAATTTGTCTGTGACATGCTGGCTAGATATCTTTTTGATGTGCTAGGTTTCTTCACATCCCATCAAATCCTTGTAATTTAACTTTTATGCTATGCAACAGGAGCTCAAAGATGAGAAGCTTTTTACTTTATTTGGCTTGTATGTCTTGCAAATCACGGTGAGAGTTCTCATACCTAAAACAAAATTTTAGTTTTCAGTTTATGGCCCTTGTGAGTTGCTCTCTTGATCCAACATTCATCTTGTCTTCCTTGTAAGTGTAGGCTCTGATTTCTAATTGCATGGGAGCAGAAACTTCCAGATGTTTCCCCATGATGTTAGAGCTGTCACATTTCCTTCAGTTTTGTGGTCTAACAAATATTGGTCTAATAACTGGACATGAAGTGGACATTGCTATTGACCTTATTTTTCAAGGTAAAAATTCAGTTTTAACCATAAGTTGTTCCATGATCAGATGATGAGTAAGTGGCATGGTGAATAATTTTAATTTGCACAATGATTTTTTCAATACTTTTCCTTTCGGTGCATATGATGATCTATAGGTGATGAAGATGATATGAGTTGTTTTTCATATGTCAAACCTGGAGCAGCCCTTGCAGGTGACCTGAAACAAATTTCTTATCTGCATCTGCACTATCTGAAAATACTGGTTTTCAAATGAGTACAATATTGAGATGCTGCTGAAATTTGTGAAACATGTAAACAGTTCTTTGGAGGAACCTTTCTAATGAGGTTGCAGATGCTACAAAGGAGGATTTGGATGCAGTCAAAAATGAACTTCGTAGTAATAGAACAAAACGGTGGGAAGCAGTAGGCATGCTGAAGCACATATTTGCTTCTGCTAATCTTCCATGGGCATTGAAGAGACATGCTATTTACTTTCTATTTTGCATCATGGAAGGCGTTGTTGCCCACAAGGATTATGATGAACCCTTGGACTATTTAGCATATACACCTAGTCTCTATGCTGCCTTACAGGTAATCTTTCCCCTTTACACACCATTATCTATTACCCAGTACCCAGTACCCAGTGTCTAAAAGTCTGAATAAAATGCTCAGGCTATTCAACTGGTCATTGTATATGCATCAGATCCATTGCTACGGAAAAAAGCTTTTGATACATTTAAGATGGTAAGGAACTTCATTTTATTCTCTCTATATCTGATAATATGCTGTCTCTGATTCTTAGTCATCTCTATATCTCCCTTCTTTATATTGGCGAAAAGAGAAGTAGGAGGAATATTTTTTGTTACTATATGTTGATTACAGCATAAGGAACTATATATACAAGTAGAGTTTAGGAGATAGACTACAACAACAACTCCTAACAATATGAGATAAGCACTTATCTACAAACGTTTCCTTATTCGAGTCTATCTATAACTCTCCATTAATCATATCCGATTACTATTCTACACTCCCCCTCAAGCTGGATGGTATATTTTATACAATCCAAGCTTGGCTTTTAACGTGTTGGATAGTGGTAAACTTAGTGCTTTAGTGAAAACTAGAAGGATGCTCGCATAATATAGCGAGATATATCTCAATTTAATGTTTCGTTTTATTATTTATCAATGTCGATATAATATAGTTTTTAGTGGTTTTGAGAAAACCATAATGTTTTTATTTTTGAATAATATATAAATTTAAATATATCATAAAAAATTGGAAAACATATATATTGATATTAGTATCAAATTTACTATTTAAAGTTCTTGTTTTTTGTGTAATTCCTTTAATTCAATATTTTATTTATAATTTAATTCAGATTTAATAACGAAATAATTTATTTATCGTTTAATAATATAATTTTTATAAAGATAATAATTAAGTATTTTGTTATAACTAATGATTATCCTAATTATATTTTAGATTTTTTTATATTCAAAATGAGACGTATATCCCGTATTTGATTATGTTTATCTATAGTTAGTTACACAAATTCAAAAATGAAACTTTAATAAGTTGTACTTACGCACAATTTACTTTTTATTGTAAGGGTGTCCGGGCCAAAGCCCGACTAACCCCCGGCAAATTTGGAGGCTAAACATGGCCCCACTTAAATGTCGCCAACACTCCCCTCCCAGGGCTYGAACTCGGGTTCATGACTATGCCATGCCCAAGCCTTTACCACTAGGCTGGAAGGTCTTTGACACGTACAATTTACTTGTGATCTTGAATTCTAAGTAATATGCATCACTAAAATATACTTTATGCATAAAAATGGTTTTTAGGAGTTTTTGTCAAATGTTTTATAATATAGTATAGATGTTGGCCACTTGTTGAGTAGTAGAATTGTAAGAGACTTTCAAGATTCCATTGTCAATTTTCTCCTTGATAAAATGCCGATCCACCTCAAATGTATTGTTCGATCATGATGGACTGGATTATGTGTCATGGCGATAGCAGCTTTATTATCACAACAAATAGTCATCGGGTGTAGTACTCGGATTCTTAGTTCACTCAGTAATCTTCTTAGCCAGAGTGCTTGACACACACGTAGGGCAGTAGCTCGTATTTCGGCTTCAGCACTGCTTCTTGAGACCACTCCCTGCTTCTTGCTTCGCCATGTGACAAGGTTGCCAAGCACATAAGAACAGTAACCCGAGGTAGAACGCCAATCAGTTTGACAACTTGCCCAACTTGCATCTGTGAACACTTCTACACTTCGATTGTCTTGTTTCTTAAACGATAAACCATGACCTGGTGTTCCTTTAAGATACCGTAGGATTTGATGAGCAACATCAAGATAGCATTGGGATGGTGAATGCATGAATTTGCTTACATAGTTTACTGCAAACGTAATATCAGGCTTGGTATGTGCGAGGTATATCAGTTGACCAACAAGACGTTGGAATCTCCCTTGTCGACTGGAACTGTAGAACTAGCATCAAGCTTTAGAGAAGAATCCATAGGAGTAGAGGTGGCCCGAGAACAGAGCATCCCGGTGTCTTTGAGCAAGTCTAAGGTATATTTTCTTTAAGGCAAGCTAATCGTAGATTTCGCTCTTGCAATCTCCATTCCCAAGAAGTACCGTAATGAACCAAGGTCTTTCATTTCGAAGGAGCGAGCCAGATGGGCTTTAATGTTTGCGATGGCCACTGCATGATCTCCCGTAAGTATAATGTCATAGACATATACTATTAGGATAGCAATCTTACCATGTTCTTTAAGGTAGAAAAGAGTGTGATCGGCATGGGCTTGAGCATGCTCAAATTGTTTAACTGTATGAGTGAACCGATCAAGCCATGTTTTCAGGGACTGTTTGAGACCATAAATGGCCTTCTTGAGACGACAAACTTTATGGCTGCCATTTGGAGCATGATAACTGGGGGGAAGTCTATGTAGACCTTCTTCTGTAGGTTGCCATTTAGAAATGCATTTTTTAAGTCTAGTTGATGAAGAGGCTAATCAAAGTTAGCAACAAGTGAGAGGAGAACCTGGATGGTATTAATTTTGGCGACTGTGGCAAATGTCTCCTAATAATCAATCCGTATGTCTGGGTGTAGCCTTTTGCTACTAACCGAGCCTTGCATCTTTCAATAGAGCCATCACTTTTGTACTTAACCATGAACACCCATTTACAGCCAACTGTGGTCTTACTATGCGGTCGTTTAATCATTACCCATGTACCATCTTTTTGAAGGGAACGAAGCTCTTCAAATACTGCAGCCCGCCACTTACGGTCTTGCAAAGCTTCATGAATATTGGTTGGTTCTTTTGTCAAAGACAGATTCGAAACAAGAGCCTTCATAGGTGGGGCTAGATTAGCATGGCCAAGAAAATCAGAAATAGGATGTTGAGTGCAAGGCAACCGATTAATGAGATAGCAGGCTATTAGAATTGCATCACCCCAAAAAGATTTGGGTGCATGGCTTTGAAAGAGTAGGGATCGTGCTACCTCTATCAAGTGACGTTTCCGCCCTTAAGAAACGCCATTTTGTTGAGGGGTATTAACGCACGAGCTTTGGTGTATAATACCATGTCTTGTGGTAAAGCTAGACATGGCCGAATTGAAATACTCGGTGCCGCTGTATGTTCGAGGGATTTTGATCTTGGCATCATATTGTGTAAAGATCATCGAATGAACTTTTCGAAGATACTAACAACTTCAGCTTTGTTATTGTAAAAGATAAATCCAACAAACTCGAGTATGATCATCAATGATGAAATAAACCATCTTTTATTAGAAATTAACCGGATTTTTGAAGGACGCCATACATCACTATGAACTAGAGAAAATGGACTCGATGCATTATAGGTATGAATATGAAACGAGACTCTAGTATGTTTGGATATTTGACAGACTTCGCATGAAAAAAACATCAGAATCATTAAATAAAGATGGAAATAGTTTCTTAATGATCGTTGATGGTGGTCTGATAAAGGTTAAAGAGATTCTTGAGGATTGTTCGATCAATCTAAATGGTAAGAAGCTACCTAGTTAAGTTGATGTGCTTAGGAAAAAAAGGTGATATAATATTGGAATGGTTTTGTTGTCAAAGAATGATGCTAAAGAGGTATTTGAAAAGAATACGATTAAGATACAAACCTGAATGGAGAATCAGTACATGTGTATAATGTTAGATGGATAGGAACTATCTCACGCAAGATCAAGTAAGACATGAAGAGATGACACGAAGAGTCATAGTTCTTATAGTAGCCATTATACGTGTTCGGCTACTAAAGTATTGTTAGAATACTTCTAGAAATGTAAAGTTTATGATATTATTAAATCAAATTAAGTTGAAATGTAAGTATGATATAGTAAGATTATAAGATATTTTGAGTTTGCATACATCTAAATGGCAAGGAATGGAAGATAGTTGGTGACGGCCTTTAATGTTATGGGAACGAGGTTGAAGAAATCTCAATTGATGATAAACTCAACTTCGTAGAAGAATCCATGACTACCACTGAGCATAAAATTAAGAAACTTTGAAACAAGGAGGTATCAATGGTATTAGTTCATTGGAACTATTCTTATGGATCAGAAGCAACATGCGAAGTCGAGTCAGAAATGAGGAATAAGTGCCCACATTTTTTTAAGTAAAAGTTCGAGGACGGAATTCTTGTAAGAAAGGGAGAACTGTAGCACCCTGGTTTCTTTATTTGCTAAATCTCAATTTTTAAGCCTTAAATACAATATTTTATAAGTAAATTAAGTACTCTTAAAAGAGTCCAATAGCTGTAGCATTTATTAAATTATCATATTTATAAGGTAAGTAGCTTACAAGGCAAAGCATGAGAATCAAACATAAACTGATGAGCTGTAAGGGCGAGAAGTATGTGTTGGCAAGCTATTTGATGACTAAGCAAGTCTACTAAGCATGACAAAGCAAGCTAGTTATGAGTTGTCAAGGCTAGAAGCATGTGTTGGCAAAATTCATGATGACAAGGCAAGCCTAAGAAGCATGACAAGGAAATACTAGGAACATGATGTGTCAAGATTCTCTTCCTAGAAGCATGAGGTGTCAAGATTCTCTTATCCTCAAGTAGGAGGTGTAAAACTCTCATAAGAGTACATGTTTGAGAGCAAAAAGAACAAGTAGCTAATGCAATGAATTTCCCTATGAATAGGGGTTGAAGCATTACTATTAGGCTATTAGCTCCATACCAAAAGTAAGAAATCTCTCTTTATACCTTATCAAGCTTGAAGAAAGGAATTATGGGAAAAGCTGGGCATAATAGAGGTGAGTACTTATGAGATTTATGAGGTACATACATGCTATATAAAAGTATTTTATGCATTACAAGATTTTGGCATGTTTGCTTTACATGAAAATGTTATACATTTACATATATTCAAGATATGCATGATGACATGTTTTGATACACGTATGTGTTTTACACGCATGGCATGAAAGTGTTTACATGTTATGATACAAGTATGTGAACAAGGCATGAAAGTTTTTAAATGTTATGTATGACCATAAATATCCAGTATGCGGGATATTACAAGAAGGGACGTCTTGCAAACGAACCTTATGGGGCAGCCTTTGATGCTTCTTATTTCGGTTTTACTCTTGCTTTGTAAATGGGTAATCGCAGGTGCTTGCAGATCTTCCCCCTTCTCTAAGGTTTGACATCTTAATGGCTTCTATAAAAAACAGCGAGTTATCTTCCATGGTAAGCCATTTCTGGCCCACAAGCATGATTTATGAGCATGGTATAATATGAAAAGCGGCAATTGTTGGACAGATTGCAATTCTTTTGGGTTGTGTCAAAGAAGAAATGCACAGGGAATATCTTCAAAAGGTTTCAGGACAAAATGGAGTTGCAGAAGCAGGAAATAACATCTTTCAACATTCATCGCCATTCTGGACGGTTAGAGTTCTTGATATTGTGGAGTTTGTTTTGAAGCCTCCAAAGGGAGGACCACCTTCACTTCCTGAATTCACTGATGCGGTAACCGTCTTGCTCTTTTTTCTCTTTCCATCCAAAATACATATAAATTAGACATGACAAAAGATCTTGAGTGGCCGGTCCAATGATGAATTGTTAATTTCTTCTTGCTTGTTTCAAGTTCAAGGTACCAATTGTACAGATAATAATCCACTTTGTTACATGGTATCTTTTTCATATGGATAGATATAGGATCTATGGGGCATTTTCTTCAAGGTAAATTTTGTGCTACAACCCTTCCTATTTGATAGAAAAGGATCCCATGATCCTGGACCAATCTTATCTGGATCGCAAATGTCTATGAAGAGCAGATAGCATCTATAATTGTTTTCTTTTTAATTCGCAGAGCCTCATGGTAGGTGCAAGATCTTGTGCACTGGAGCTCATGGTTATGGACCCAAATCCCAAATTCATTAGCATGGAACATTTTCTTTTCCATGTGAAGTTCTCTAGTATATGAAAGAGTGAAAAATGGTTTTCTTGTTGTGGAATAAAGAAGCCTTTGTATCTTAATGGATGTATTTAATTTTTATAGTGCTGTTGAGCAGGATCCACTGTTTTCGGGGAATATAAGTTGAAGCAATAACAAGAATATTTTTAGTTTCATAATCCCCGTAGTGAATGTTCAACGTGTTTACATCTCCTTGTGATGTATGATATTTATTGTATTCCTTTAATAGACCTGTAATCTTATTATCTAGCACAAACATCTACTGGAGATACGTCCTTGTAATCAATAATAGTTGAGTATATATTCCAATGGTCCAAGAATTTTTCATTCTAAGCAATTTGAGAAGCCATGATGTAATCAATAAGCCTTTGCATCATGCAGGTGCTTTTGCTAGGGTCATTTGTGGCTTCTTAAGTGCAGATGGCAACTTTGAGTGCAAGAGTAATTGATCTATAAACTTGACTAGTCAGCCAAGATCATCTTGGAAGTTGTGTATGGCATGTAGTACAATATAATCCTCCTAGTCATCACAATAAGTGCACCAATTAGATTACATGGTTAAAGTTAGTGAGCAGAACTTCTCATACACGGTATTGAATACGTGGAGGTCCTTCATTAAAGCAGTGTAATCAAGTCTAACATACGTAGTTTATCCATATTAAGTTTAGGGGCTGACTTGTCTATTAGTCTGTATCAAAATTTAAGGGTCTACTTTCCCCTGTCACATTTTATAATTTGTGTATGATGATGGTGTTCATTCTCATTGCCACTATGCTACCCTGTCCTGTGGAACTCCTAGTATTGCTTTTTTGTTGCTTTTGTCGAGGTCCAAGTACGTAGTGGAGATTATGTGGATGTGTACTCTAAATTTATTAGGTGCATGTGATTTGTTTGGAATGTTTACTACATGAATGGTGGTATGTGGAACTAAACCCACATAAAAATTTAGTCGATTCATCTTGTAGCAGTTAGTCCTCCCTTGCATGCTACTCAAGCGCATAGAATCAGTCTTCTTGTCATTGAATATCAGATATCATGCTACTATAGCTTTATTTATTTATTAAGTATAGATTACTGTAATAACATTTACTTGCTCATTTTCTGCAGGTATTGTCTGCACTCAACATGTATAGATTTGTACTGATCACTGAATCATCAGGTACCTGCTTCTTTCATTTGTTTGATCTTCGAAAAACAGTGGCACTTTTGTTAGTACTGGAGCACTTTTAACCAAAGAAGTCTGGCGTAAAACAAGACTCTTCACTAGGGCTCTGCGTCCGTTTCTTAACTTCTTGACCCAATGCATATTCCAAGTCCCTTCCATGTCATGTCCAGTGTCGTTCTCAACTCAGAATAGCGTTCCCCAAAAAAGAATTTGTACTGGAGATGTTCAATTATTAATTTTCTTGTCATGTGGCGTGACTCTTTGTTCAAAGTGGGTACTGAATATCGACTTAATATGATCCTCCTAACGTTTATTATCATCATTAAGTATTTCAATATGTAATTCTATGTGGAATTTCCTGACAAAATAATTTTCATATCAACTTGAGGATTTTTGGCTTGTGAAGCTGACACTTTTATCTGCAACCTTCATCACTCTAAACAACCTTTAGCCTGTGATGTCAACTCAGGAACTTATATCAATTTTTTATGTTAGTAGGCTGTCCTGATGGTGCACTTTCTTCTCTTTAGACCATGCATCTCTAAGAATTCTAGTCTCTTTCTCTGCTTGAAGCTTTACTTGTTTAGTCTTTTCAATATTTACTGCATATTGCTTTAATAATGTGGCAAGGTTGACAGGTGCTTAGTGTTTTATGTTAAGTTGACATATAGATTACTTTTTTGGCTTACCGTAACTTGTTTCACCTCAGCTTTTGATCACCATGAATGGTTCTTACAAGCTAAGATTAAATGATAATTATGGACTTGAAGTTATGATTTTGTCAAGAAAATTCATTTGAACCAAGTAATTTTAAGAAACTTTTTGAGTGACTACTTGTTATTATCTTAAGGAGAGAGAGTTGTATTTTTACCTAAACTATGTTTATGCTTTTCTTACACTGCTTCTATTGGTATGCTATTTCTTATCTACTTTTTTAGTTTTTTAAATCTTATTGGCATTTCTCTCTTTCACACACTTCCACTTTCACCGAAATAACCGCCTTATTCTTTGAGGTAGAGGCCAGGTTTGCGTACATTTTACCCTCCTAGACCCCACCTAAGGGTGGGATATACCGAACTTGTTTTGTTTGGTTTAGGGGCTGCTTACCAAACGATTACTTGGTAAGCCCTTATCATGTGTCATGTATTTTACCGAGTGAGCATGACATGGACCAAGAATTATACCCGGTAAGAGGTATAGCAATGACTGAGAATCTTACCTAGTGAGGGAAAAAACTCTTAACCAGTAAGTGCTTACAGAGCAAAAGATGCTTACCAACAATCCATTTTGATGGTCAAGAATGTTACCTGATAAGGTAATTGAGGATGGTGACTCTTGCCCATAAGCACTTACCCGTTAAGCATTAGGTTAACGGCCTCTTAGGGGCCTTTTACCAAATACTTACCCGGTAAGTGCTTACAGGTAAAATTTAATACTATTATTTACTTACCGGGTAAGATTTTAGTCCACCAAAACGACACTGCATGCAACAATTTACCCGGTAAACGCTTACCGTGGTAAGAGTCGTCGCCCTCACTTACCGGGTAAGACTCTTGGTCGTTGTCTAGCTCTTACCGGGTAAGATTCTTAGTCTTTACCATATTCATCTGGTGAGATAATGTGACTTTGGTAAGTGCTTACGCAGGTAAACGTTTGGTAAACGGCCCCTTAGTTGATTTGGTAAATGCCATTGTTTTTAGATTGTTTGTTTGCTTGGTTTTTTACAAAAAACACGAAAATAATGAAACAGGGAATACAAACTACACTGAAGTGCTGTCGAAGAACAACTTGCAAAAGGTCTACAGGGAATGGCTTGAACCCCTTCGAACTTTGGTTGCTGGTGTTGCAGCCGAAAGCCAGAAAGATGACAATCAACTTGCTTTTGACACTGTATGTGCTCTTAACCCCGTAGAGTTTGTTTTACATCGATGTATTGAACTTGTCGAAGAAAATCTCAAGCATCATTCTTAGCTCACAACCTTGACCTATATTTTCTGATGATAAAACTTTTCCAAGTAATAATATAAAATTTCGCTACATTTATTTGATAGTTTTTACTCCATTACATAGCATGCATACTGTAGATTTGTTCTCATAGATGAAACTAGATATTCTCTTTGTCCCATAAGTGGGGTCCATGGTTCATTATTGACAAAATAAAGGAATTTCAAGAAGAGTTAGACCTAATGCTTTATTTATAATCCTAGTTAGATCCTGATTCGACATCACAAGTATATTGATTTCCCTCCATAATCAATTACCTTTGTCTTTAAATATTGCATACAACCACAAGGGTGGTGCCTGATTGGTTTTTTGCTTGGTTCCAAAGGTCAAAAGTACCAAGGAGGTCTCAGGTTCAAATCCAAGGAGGAATAAAAATCCCCTTATGGCCACGGAGGTTCAAATGCGATGACTCCGGGCTATCTGCAAAGCAGGTGGTCACCCTGGGATTAGTTGGCTCGCATAGCGGGTTGGATATCCAGTTTAATAAAAAAAAAATACTGCATACGTATTCCATTCATAAATCGATTTGATTTCCTGAGTTATAGGCTCAATGAGACTAGTAGTTTTTAGCTATTCATTTAGTATGATATGAATATACCAAATAAATTCATTATGTATGAAGGATGAGATTTCATTCATACGAGGTTAATTCCAGTAGACGCATTGGAGGGGCCTATTGGCGTGCATTCAGTAGGAATGACCAATTAGATTCTTTAACCATTTAGCCATCCAACATAGTAATGTTAAATTTTAATGATGACAATGAATGATAAGTAGTAATTCTAGTTTTTGATGTTTTCCAAATATAGAAACATTTGAGATTTTCATGGGATACCATGTTGGATATGAAGTCTAATTTGGAGTATATATCCGACTTAGACTATGTTGATTTAGTTAGGGTGATAGTTTACATCTTATTTCTTTTCTGTTAGGCTTTCTTCTTATAATAGGAGCTGGTATTCAATCTATGCATGTCTTACAAGTCCACAATACATCAGGAAACAACAATAGAGCGTTTTCAAAATTTTAATGCAATCGATTATCACGAGTATGATTGTTGATCATAACAATCTAGAAATGAAAATTGTTGCAATTGTTATAGATTGGAAATTGATGAGGGATTTTTCTTTGGGATGACTGAGGAGACAAAGATATGTTATTAGACTATATGTGCCAATCCTGTTCTAAAACATCAATCATGTGGTGGACTTAAGATAAGGCAAGTTCAATTCTTGTTAATACAACTTGGAACTGAAAAAAAGAAATCCAGTTCAGTTGATGTTAATACTGTAGGTTGATCAAAAGTCAATCATGCGATTGTCTTTTGGATGCTGAGTTGTTAAATAAATAAATATATATATATAGCTTGGTTCAAATACTAACCAAGATTTTTGTGTTAACTTTGTTAACCAATTTTGGCCATTGATTCTTACAATAAAGGGTTGTGATTAATCATGATAAAAAATTAAATTTTTAAATTTACAATTTCAAAGAACATATCTGAACAAAGGGGAAAAGGGTATTTAGGTAATTTTCTTTTTTATGTAACTCTCATATCATTAATTGGGAGTTACAAAATCAAAAAATCTCATTATTTTTATTAATTTATTTTTGTTAATGTAAGAACCATATGAACACACACACACACACACACACACATATATATATAACCATTGTGTCAAATACGAACAAAAATTAACATATATATGAACTTAGACTGTATAGCATTTATGAACACAATATGAATATAATAAGAATAGTTGTTACGCGAAAGTAAATAAATAAAAAAACATGTATGAACACAATATGAACAGTTTGTGAACAATAGTTTCTTCATTATGAACACATTCAGGAGCAAGTCAATGTTGAGATATGCAGCTAGTGTACATATGAACACAATATGAACAGTTTGTAAACAATAGTTCCTTCATTATATATGAACACATTCAGGAGCAAGCCAATGTTGAGATATGCAACTAGTGTACATATGAACAGTTTGTGAATAATAGTTCTTTCATTATGAATACATTCAGGAGCAAGCCAATTTTGAGATATGCAGCTAGTGTACATATGAACAGGATATGAACACTTGTGAACAATTCTTTAACAATTACATATGAATTCGAATTCCGGTTGTAGTCGTAGACGATTTTAACCTTTTCATTCTCATCGTTGTCGATCTGTTTTCCAATAGGTTTATTCATATTACTCAGACGATATCGAAATCTTTACAATCGGAAATTCTTTAACAATTACAAAATCAATATCATTATGGATAGAATAAATCGAAATTACAAAATATGAACACGTATAAAAAAAATATCAATATTACATAATCATCAATTATTGAGATTTTTAGATCTGTAACTCCCAATTAATGATTTGGGAGTTACATAAATGACAAATTACTTAATTACCCTTGTCATTAATATATGAGTTATATGTGAACCTAAAGAAAAGATGGAATATGATTGGTTGAGCTTGGTTAACAAAGTTAACACAAAAATCTTGGTTAGTATTTGAACCAACCTATATATATATATATAAGTAAAACCTACAAAGAATGAGGTGATATCCTAAGAAGTGAGTATTCTTCATTTCTTGAATTGTGGTTGAGTTTGTGTATCCTATATTAATGGAGATATGAAGTATTTACAATGAATGGTAGATATTTTAAAGGGAGATTTGAAATGGTTTTTAGAGGGAGATTGCTTTTGTGCGAACTCATGAGGTTGACTCATTTTGGTCGATCCTCTAAATTCACATCGTTGGATCATTTTGACCGACCCTTTGAACTCATGAGTTTGCTCATTTTGGTCAACCTCATATTAGCAAAAAAAAAAAAAAAAATTAATCATGCAAAATAAAAAAATCTTTATCTTTATGTATATTAAAAAAATCGCACAAAGAATGAAGTG